GACTCCTTTCTCTGCCTTCTCGTCGTGCTATCGGTCTGTGGTTGCAGGGTGCGTCACACTCCACTCTCATTTCCTCACACACACACATTGCAGTCACTCGTAAGCATGTGACACAGGACCGGATCGGCCAAGTCTCTGATCTTCAAGGCGATCGCCCCGCAAGCCCTTGTCCCGAACGTCGTAGCCGAGGTTCTGCGGCCTGAGCACGGGCAGACGGAGGCGCCCGCCGCGCTCCGGGAGGCGATCAACTATCACCCGCGCGAGACAAACGGCGACCTCAAGGGCTTGATGACGGCCGGCACCGCCTCCTGTGCGCTTCTCATTGAGCACCACCCTTCCTCCCTCTTCGCCACCCACTCGTTGCTGCGTGCCTGCGCTCTTAGGCGTCATGAACAAGCTCGTCGCTCACCCAGATCTGTGGCGCCTCCTTATGTCCGTCCCTGAGGGCCAGGAGTGGGTTGCCAACATCGAAAAGTCGAGCTCGCCGGCCGAGCTCTCCGCCTGGACCAAGTTTTGGGACGCCGGCGAGGAGGTCGCCAAGGGCACCGGTGTCACCGACATCAAGCGCATGCACTTTATGATGTCGCTGCTGCTCATGACGCAGCACGAGTCGGTCTTGCGCATGGCTAAGATGGAGGACAAGAACAAGAACGGCCTCTTCGGCCGTTTCCTCATCACCTTCTACGAGAAGAACGCCTTCGACTTCTCCTCCATTCTCGGTGCCGACTACAAGGACCTGCTGTCGGACGAGGGCAAGCAGAAAATGGCGCCGCTGATCGGCGCGCTCACGGAGCGGGCGATGAAGCTCCTCATGGCGGCGTGGGTTGCGGACGAGTTCCCGCCGCTCTCGGTCCTCTCAGCGTATCAGGAGCAGACGCGCGACACGGCTGCGCGGCGGGCCGAGGCGGCGGCTGCGCAGCGGGCCGAGGCGGCGGGCGAGGAGGGCGAGGAGGGCGAGGAGGCGGCGCAGGCCAGCGAGGAGGACGAGGAGCCGACCGCGTCGCAGCTCTCTGCGGCGGGGGCTGACTACAGCGTCCTCAACTACGCGGACATCAACAATGGCACAGGCGTGCAGGGGGTGGACCGGGCGCCGCTCTCGGAGGAGGGGCAGGAGGAGGAGGGCGAGGACACCGTCCCCCCTCCGAGCCTCACCTCCTCCGGCCGGTCGTCGTTGGGCTCCTCGCGCCGCTCGTCGTTGGGCGCCGCCGACGGTGCGCCGCCGCCGCAGGAGTCGATGGAGATGCAGAGGAAGCGGTTCGCGACGGAGACATCGACCATGATGCCGGACGTTCCCGGTGGCGCGCACGCCCTCCTCGTCGCCGCACTCGAGTGCTACGACAACGAGTACATGCGGCAGAGCAGCGGCCCCGACGGGCCAGGCAAGGCCGGCTACGTGGCCGCCGCAGGCAAGGGTGGCACACACATGCTGCGCCGCTGCCCCACGTTGGCCCGTCTCCGCAAGGGCGCGGAGCTCCTTTCGATGCTTCAGGGCGTCCGCCGCATGCCTATCGTCGACTCCGACGGCGGCCCGCTCTTCCTCAAAAAGCTGATCGCGGCCATGCAGGAGCGCAAAGACCTCAAGCTCGGCTGCGACTATCTCGCCGGGGACCCCAACGGCGCTGGGCTTGTGGCCACCGTCGACCGGGCGTCCACGTACCTCGCCTTCATCACCGGGCAGTTGCTTCTCAAGTCGAGCTACGCCGCCGTGGTCGCGGGCAAGGACGTGCTGCCTCCGGTCGCCAACGTGCCGTCGGTCGTGGCCGTGCCGACGTCGGCAGCGGAGGCGGGCGGACAGGGGTCCGCCGGCCGGACGCCTGGCCCCGCCACCGACATGCTGGGGCGCGCTCGCAAGATCATGGTCACCGACAGCTTTTTCGTCACGCCGAGCGAGTTGCCCAAGCACTGCACCCTCGAGCAGTTTCGCGAGGCGGCCGAGCACCTCGAGAGCAACGGGCTCGCGCTCCTCTTCTCTGAGGTGATTGGCTTTGGGCCGGCGCAGAACATGGTCACGCTCCTAGGACATGGCACCATGATCCGCACCGGCTGCAAGGTCACCTTCGTCGTCAAGATGCTGTCCTACGTGGGCTGCGACGAGAGCCTCGCGCGGGCGCATCTCTCTGCCGCCGAGGCCAGCGACTACGACGCGCTTCTGCACCAGTCGACCGGCGTCGCTCGCACGGCCAAGGAGAAGATGCTTCGGCTGCTCACTTACATGGCCTCGGTGGCGGCGCTGGCTGGACGGCTCGACACGCTCGCCGAGCCGGGCGCCATCCGATCGGCGGCGCTCACGGCGTACCAGTTCTCGGGCGGCTCCCTCTCTGCGCTGACCACCGCCGCGCAGAAGCTGACGCAGCGCAACCTCGACGGGAAAAAAAGGCGGGCGCTGCTGGAGGCCAAGGCGAAGAACGAGGCGCTGGACCGGGTCCTAGGCGACGCCTCGGAGCTCAAGAAGCTGCACGAGGCCACGCTCCAGGCCGCGCAACGCCTGCGGCTCGCTGCCACCTCACATACCCGCCAATCCCGCCCACCTCGCCAGCCCGCCGCTCCCATGTCTCCACGTCCCCAGCAGTGCCCGCAAACTCAGCCCTGATGCGCCCTCTCAGCTGGCCATCCTCACCAAGAAGAAGCTCGAGCCGGCCAAGTACTCGAGCCTGGAGCTGCTCCCGCACGTTGAGGTGCCCTCTGAGCCGGCGGGGCCCACCACCTCTACGGATGATTCCTCTGGCAAGCGGGCCAAGGCTGCTGGGGACAACGACGACTTCACGTAGTTCTGCGTCAGCCTGCGCTGCCCGGGCGGGTGCGGTCTCGGCGCTCGCCGGCGCGTCCTCGCGCCGCCAACCAGCGTCCTCCTCAGGCGACAGGAAGCTGGGCGGAGCAACCCCGTTTTGGCGCGGGGCGACGGCTTTGGGTGGAGTCTAGTCGGCGGCATTGTGTGTGGTGCTCTCCGAACGGACTCTGCCGGGGTCTTGGGTTTGGAGAGAGAGAGTGGGAAGTGGCGAAAGAGGCGATGAGTGGCGGTCGCGGCGGTGTATATGAGGTGGAGCGACCACCCACATGAACACGTCTTTACATGAAATGGCGTTACATGACATTTGCAAGCACATCCCGCCGACGAATCAGAGAGAGAGAGGTTTTTAGCAATACCAGAGAATTAGATTTTTCCCTTGATTTTCCGCCGCTCTTTTCCGTGTCAAGGCGGGAGCGACACATTTTCTGCTGCGAAGCTAAACTCTTCTCGGACGGACGAAAGGAGTCTCGCCTGTCCTCCCTGCCGAAGAGGAGAGCAGACACAGGCGATTCAAAGGTCGCTGCTCCCTGAGACGGCACAGTCTGGCCGCAGCGACGCGTGCCGCGAGCGAGAGGCTGACTCGGAAGACACAGTCGAGGGCTACTGTCGGCAAGCAGTCGGCGGCACTATCGAGTGGCTAAAGTGGCTGAAGGCCAAAGCCGCTGCTCCAGGGCGTCGAACGCGCGTCGAGCCGCAGCGGCATCCGACCGATGGTGATGCTCGGCGGCGCCGGTGGCGCCTACAGAGACTTCTTCCACCCGGAGAATGACGACGCCCTCTCGGTGCGAGCACTCTGTGATCAGACCGCTGAGCTCGGTGCGATGCTCTATAGCTCGATGCTGCGACGCTGCGGCGTACGGTCACCGATGCTGATAGCTGAGGCAAGGTACCGAAGCCGAAGTGTCCGGCGCAAAGTTGCGGATTTGCAGTAGGGCCTGCTTTGTACCACTGCGCGGTTTAGCAGGAGTGCCGCGAGATTGAGAGAGCACTCCCAGCACTCCAAGCACTGCAGAAGGATTTGGGCGCTCTCGTAACGGGTTTGTGTGTTAATGACACATTCCTGGTGACAAAGTTTTACGCGGTACAAAGAACGACACCGTGACCGGGAGCGGAGCTTTCAACTCACACGCACACACTCTCTCGGGCGCGTGCCCTCGCCAGAGACGCCATACTCGCGTGTCACGCGTCGGTCACTTGCTGCGCTTCTTCGCCTGCGCCTGCTTGCGGCGCTCGCGGAGCACTGCGCGGCGCTCTGACGCGGCCTTGACCCGCTTGCGCCGCCACTGCATGTACTGCTCCTCGTGCTTCTGGCGCCAAGCTTGGTATGTGGCGGACTCCAGGTCGTACGCCCGCTTGCCGCTCAGCAGCAGCCGAGCGAGCTCGTCACGCTCCTTTGGCCCAATTACCGTGGCGTCCGCCAGGCCGTACGCCGCGCGCATGCGGCGCACCTCGATGATCGGCTCCTCCATGCAGTCCTACAGTACGCGGCACGAGGGCAAAGGGGGTTGGTCGGGCGGTTACGAGACTGGAGCGTTAGGCATGGGAGAGGGTGCGCGAACCGTGCGGATGGTCCGCTCGTTCTTGAGCCACACCATACGGTGTACAAAGAAGGTGGCGTTCGAGATGGCCATCTCGTTGATGATGTGCTTGAGCAGGCCCAGCCAGCGGAACAGCTGCTCGCTCGACTCCGAGTTTTCGAACTCGAGCAGCTCCTGCAGCTCGACCCGCTCTTTGCCGTCAAAGCCCACCGGCAGCCAGTCGAGCGTGGGGTTGGTCTGCGTCATGCAGAACGTGTCGTCCTCCGAGTGGCACTTGAAATGAAACTGGTCCACGATGATGGCCTTGTCCAGGATGGCCGCGAACAGCTCCATGGCGGGCGTGTCGGGCTGGCCCGCCCGTTGCTGGCGCATGCGCTTCAGGTTGGCCAGCATGCTCTTCTTGAAGTGGCAGGCGTCGTCCTATGGCGGAAGGGCGAGGCACACTCTGCGGGCGGCGTGTGGACGCGCTACCCCTAGACTCGAGTGTCGAGAGGGCGACGCGCAGTGCCTGGGCGATGACTCGCACTCGCTTGAGGAAGTTGGGGCAGGTGCGGAAGAGGCGAGCGACAAAGTAGATGCTCTTGGATATCGCCTCGCTGTTTTTGAACCAAGACCAGTCGACGCACTGGTTGCACGACGTGTTGGCTGCGAGGAGCCCGCCCATGTGAGTCTTGTAGCCGCCGACAGGCTCGCCCGCCTGCACCGACTTGACGTTCTTGCCGCACGGAGACTTGAGCAGCTCCAGCATGAAGTCGCCGGGGATGGTGAGGAGGTCGTCACCGGAGGCGGGCGCTGGGAGCTCTGGCGGGATCGGCGCCAGCTCGGTCGGGCGCCACTCCCCCTCGAGCTTGCCCTGCAGCCGCTCCAGGTAAGACGGGAACGGCACTGCCCTTTTCTCGCAGTCGAGGAAGAGCGTGATGAGGTCCGGATGAATGCTCGACTCGCACTCCTCCGTGTCGCCCTCCGGCGACCTCCAGCCAAACCACTTGATCCAGTACGTTTGCTCCCCGAGAGGCTGCAGCGTGCCGCGGCGCAGTACCATGTCGACCTGCCACAGATCCTTCCCGATCGGCGCCGCCAAGGCCGCCCCTTCGTCCGTCGGGTCCTCGAGCGCATTGTCGACGTCTGAGCCGTACGCCCTTCTCATCTCACGCATGCCGACAACCTTGCGTCTCGGCTGCGAGGCGCCGCCGGCTTTGGGTGGCGCTTTGGGTGGCGCTTTGGCTGGCGCTTTGGCTGGCGCTGCGGCTGGCGCTGCGGCTGGCGCTGCGGCGGTGAGGACTCCGCCTGGCCGCTTCTCCTTGCCGCCAGGAGCGCGAGACACGGAGCCCTTGGCCGTGGCGGCGCGTGCCGCCGCACTGGCCGACCTCGCCAGCGCCTTCTCCTGGTACGAGAAGGATCGGTCCTTGGAGGATGCCCGCAACTGGCGGCCGCCCGCCGTCATCTTCCCCGGCGCGGCAGCCTCTTCGACGGCCTCGGAGGCGACGGCGGCGGGGGCGGGAGCGGGGACGGGAAGGGAGGCGGGGGCGGATGCAGCCTCGCCGTTCGAGGGCTCCTTGGTGATGCCTTCGCCACTCTCACCGCTCGCGTCACCCGACTCACTACTCTGCAAAAGCTGGAGCGATGAGGCAAGCGATGCGTCCAACGGCGCCTCTCGCTTGTCGCGGTTGCGCTCGGCGCGCGACTCCGAGTCGCCCTTCCGCTCACCGCTCTCGTTCAGGCACGCAAGGCACACCCTGGAACGGGGGTCGGTCACGTTGCCAAAGCAGCCCTCAGTGGTGTAGGCGGTGCTGCCGGGCAGGATCGTCTTGTACTTGGTCTCCACGCAGCAGACGTCGCAGCTCAGCTTGTGCAGGCCGTCGAACGACATCATGAAGCAATACCCCGGCCTCGTGCAGCACGTCTCATGCGACTGGGCAAAGCGGCGCCGAAACTCCTCCCGCCCCTTGTAGCCCTGCCGCCGCAGAGCCTCGTACAGCCGATCAGTGTCGACGAGCTCGGTGTATTGGACTCGCTCCTCGACAGGCACGCCAATGCGCCGCTCGTCGTTGAGCAGCTCAAACGTCCACCACGCCAGCTGCAGGTTTTTGCGCTCCCGATCGCTCCACACATCTGGCGACTCGGCTCGATCAAATGCGCGGCTGCGCAAGATCTCCTGCAGACCGCGGTTGGACATGCGCGTCCGTTCGCTGGCCACCGTCAGGAACTCGAGCAGCGATCGGTCGAAGGCTGTGCTGCAGCCTGGAGGAAAGTGCCACACATCGCCCCCTGCCGCATCCTCCTTGAGCCGCGTCTGGGGACCGGCTGGGAGCGGTGAAGCCGAGTCGGCGGCCGCGACAATATCGGCACGAGAGTAGGTCCATGAAATGGTCGAGCACTGGTGGATCGTGCCGCAGGCGCCGCAAATCTTCTGAAGCTCGACGCCCGGAAGTGACGCCGTGTCGAGGAACCGCACCTGGAGCTGCTCCCCATTCTTTGGCACTGCCGAGGCCAGTTGCAGATCGGCGCTTTTGCAGCGAGCACACTCCGTGTCGTTTGGCACCAGGAGCACAACCGCTCGCCGCACATGGCAGGCTGTGCTCTCAAAATCGGGCAGCCTCGTCCTCGCCATGATGGCAGCGTTTCGGACGTCGACCACGCCCACAAAGCCCAGTTGCTGCAGTCGTAGTTTGCTGTGCTGCCACACGACCTGGCTGAGCACGGCTGCATCCAGATTGGCCGCCGAGGGTGCGACGACCGAGCGCCATATGTCGCAGAATGCCAGCAGCTTCGGTGCTGTGTCGAGGAGCCCAAAGCCCTCTGCGATGCCGTCCCCGGGTGCGGGTTCGACAGGCGTTGGCTGGTGCGATGCCATCACAGCCCTCGAGGCCTCCGCAGCCCTGCCCTCGCGGCGAGAGCCCAAAAGGCGCTGCGCCGAGTTTGGGCGGATGAACTCCTTTTACACGGGACTCGTACCTCGGAAAAAATTTATTCACCGAGCCCTCCGAGCCCTCCACACCCCTCCGACCTCTCCGACCCCTCCGACCCCTCCGACCCCTCCGACCCCTCCGACCCCTCCGACCCCTCCGACCCCTCCGACCCCTCCGACCCCTCCGACCCCTCCGACCCCTCCGACCCCTCCGACCCCTCCGACCCCTCCGACCGAGCCCTCCGAGCCCCCCCACCCAGCCCTCCGACCCCTCCGAGCCCTCCGACCCCTCCGACCCCTCCGACCCCTCCGACCCCTCCGAGCCCTCCGAGCCCCCCGAGCCCGGCTCGGTGGCTCGCCCCTCCGAGCCCTCCGGGCACTCCATCCCTCATGAGCCCTCCCGAGCCCTCCCGAGCCCTCCCGAGCCCTCCAGCGCCACCCTCGTGCCTCTCTGCCCTCCGAGCCCTCCGAGCCCTCCGAGCTCTCCACCCCTCCCGAGCCCCACCCCTCGCGCTAGGGACCCTCTTGCCGGAA